TGAGAAACGACCGGCTGGCCATTGTGCTGCACCTCGACGCGCAGCGTCGGATCCGCCTGCGCTTCCTCTGAAACGGTGCATTCAAAGATGACGGTCTCACCCTCTACCGTTTCGACGCTTCGAATATGAGAGCTAAAGTAGGGCGGTTGCACCAGAGAAGTACTTGGTGGAGTAGTGGTAGTAGCCTCACCATCAGGAGCCCTTCTGGCGCCCATGGTCACAACCTCAAACTCATCCAGCCGACTCAGAGTACTTTCCGGGAAGAGGGAGGTCGAGTCGATGAAACGAGAAGACTCGGCCACCACCTTGATGGAGCAGCAGGTGGTCGCTTCACCCACCTGGTTTATGGCTCTGCAAAAGAGAAAATTGAAAAAGGTAAACTCCATAAAACCTTTTTTTCCACAACAACCACAACAACTCACCGGCAGATGTACACTCCCGAGTCCTCCGGCTTGCAGCCGACAATGTCCAACGTGACTCGGCCAAAGTCGAGGCCGGTGGTGGTGCGTGAGCCTAGAACTAGATAATTTCCGTTCTTGTACCACTCGACGACCAGATTTTGATCATCCACTGGCTCCAGACGGGCCTCCAGGTGAAGCGACTCGCCCTCAGGGACGTCGTTGTCACTGGTCAAGTGGGCGGTGAAACGAGGCGGGGGAACTTGCTGTTGAAGCTGACGAGTGGTGCGCTTTTCGAATCTGCTCGTCTCCAGACTTCGAATCTGGCGGTACGCCGCCGGATCGAGTTGTGAGCGGCGGTCAATGGCGGCAAAGGTGTTCACGCGCAACTGGTGCGAAGAGATGGCCTCGCCTTCCGCGTTGCTTGCCCTAGATTTGGAAAAAAAGCAAAAGTTTTAGGTTCTGAGTAAATCGAAATCAAGTTACAGCTCCTACTTGACCATGTAGATGGCCGCATCCTCCGCACTGACGGCGGCAATGTCCAGGAGGACGTAGCCAAAGTAGCTGGAGGCGGCGATTCGATTGCTCGACCGCAGTTCCTCCCCGTTTCGGTACCAGGTGATGGTGAGGGTGGGGTCGCCCACCGGCGCCACGCGACACTCCAGCGTCACCTGGTCGCCCTCGTTCGCCTCGGAGGGGCCGCGCAGGGAGACGACAAAGTGCGGGCGCTCAAAACGGCCACTGGCCACCTGATCTGCACGGTGAGTTTTAGTGCGCTCCAGGTACTGAATGGTGGTCAGCGAGTCGACGTTCGTGGTGTCGGTGATGATGGTGCCTTCAGCTGCAAAAGTTGATGATAATGATAAGATTTTATCAACAAAAAGTTTCTTATTTTCCTTACCCTTAACGTCAACCACAGCAGTGGTGGTCGCCTGGCCCAGGTC